CAAAACCGTAACTCTCGCGAAAGAAGAAAACGGAAAACACGTTTTGCTTTTCTCTTTCCGAGAGGCACGGCCGTGACTCTCGCAAAAGCACAACCGTGCCTCTCGCGAAAGCAAAATCGTGACTCTCGCGAAAGAAAAAAAACAGAAAACATGTTTTTTTTCATTTTCGAAAGGCATGGCCGTGACTCTCGCGAAAGCACAACCGTGTCTCTCGCGGAAGAAAAACCGTGACTTTCGCGAAAGGAAAAAAAAAAAGAAAACACGTTTTTTTCACACAATTTTTTTTAAAATATTTTTTTGATCGAAAAGCTAAGAAAGACCGGGGGAAAACCAAAACATCGAAAAAACCTGAAAAAAATCATTTAAAAATCCGAAAACATGTGCGGAAAAAAAATCTGGAGGGAGCGTCCAGAACGCGACACGTGACGAATGGCTGAGGGCGCGTCAAGTGACGTTGATCGTTGCAAGGCTCCAGAAGGAGCGCTCGTTAACTAGTTGCTCCCATCTATGTCTTAGCTGGTTTGGCAAGCTTCCCAGCCGGTTTCGGGAAGCTTCTGGCCATTTTTAGTTTTCTGGCCTTTTTAGACGGTTTTTATTTAGTTTTTTCTTTTTTCTTTTCTTTTTCCGTGTTTTGTTTTTCCCTCTAAGAGCAACTCCAACCGGGCAATCCAAATAGACATGCTTTTTGTGTGCTTTTCATCCGTTTGGGTCGCTCGTGCGGACGTGCACGTCCATTTTTTATTTGGGTCGGCTAGTGCGTCCAACAAGATATATACCCATTTTTCTCCACGTGTCTGAAACACACTTAATAAAGTATAATTATAAATAAATGACCAGTCAACCGCCGGCCAAAGTCCACTCAAACATTAACTAAACATAAAAAACTAAGCGCCCACAAGCTGCCCTAGTAGACCGCCTTGCGCTTTCCCTTGCCACCAACATCGCTGCCGGTGAGGTTGATGAAGACTGGAGGCGGTCCAGCCCAGCCGAACACGGCTTGATGGTCCGCCAGGGCAGCCTCCTCCTGCGTCTGATGCGGCGGAGTCATTGCGGCGAGGCAGGCACGCTTCTCCTCCTCAAGGCGCGGCGCCTCCTCATCGTGGTGCAGCAGCTGCTCCCGACACATCTACCGCTCGCCGTCAGCCTCATCTTCGATGAGCCAATGTGCCTTCCAATGCTCCAGGTGGGTCACCTTCTGAGGGAGTCCTGGATTAGGGGGTATCCGAACAGCCGGACTATATCCTTTGGCCGGACTGTTGGACTATGAAGATACAAGATTGAAGACTTCGTCCCGTGTCCGGATGGGACTCTCCTTGGCGTGGAAGGCAAGCTTGGCGATATGGATATGTAGATCTCCTTCCTTGTAACTGACTTTGTGTAACCCTAGCCTCCTCCGGTGTCTATATAAACCGGAGGGCTTAGTCCATAGGATAACAACAATCATACCATAGGCTAGCTTCTAGGGTTTAGCCTCTACGATCTCGTGGTAGATCAACTCTTGTAATACTCATATCATCAAGATCAATCAAGCAGGAAGTAGGGTATTACCTCCATCGAGAGGGCCCGAACCTGGGTAAACATCGTGCCCCCTGCCTCCTGTTACCATCCACCTTAGACGCACAGTTCAGGACCCCCTACCCGAGATCCGCCTGTTTTGACACCGACATTGGTGCTTTCATTGAGAGTTCCACTGTGCCGTCACC